TGGCTTTTGCCTGGCTCAGGCCTTTGCTTTTGAAGCTGCTGGAAGAGTGAACCAGCAGATAGAAGATCTCTTTCTGTGTCACTCTGCATTTCAAATAAATGAATGTATCTTCAATTTTCTTTTTCTAATTTTTGAGTTCATTTGGTGGTAACTTTCAGAAATAGAACTTTTTTTTTTTCTATCAGCAGGTGTAGTTGTTGATTCCTAACTTTGTTTCTTTTCCCAACCTGTACGTGTCCCATGTGCTGCTTAGGGTCCAGTCCGGGGTTTCCCATTCCCACCCTGGCTCTGGCCCTGCCTTGGCTCCGTCTCCCTGAGAAGCCCAGCTGTTCTTGTATATCTCAACCAGTCAAATGATGCCCATGTTGTCAACAGATTATCAAACACACTCATTAAAGGGCTCACTTCCTCGTTCTGTTGAATTCCTTTGGGTTGATTTCCCTAGGATGTTTCATTCTGGTCACTGGCCTGGAGGATTAGCTTCCTAAAGAAATATTACAGAACGAAGCAATATTACTGTCAACTCTTGTCCTTCTGTTTTCTGCTTCCAGCTATTCCAACAAGTTAGCACAGAGTGTTCCTTCCTCTGACCTCACCCTGTGCCTTCACATCAAGTCTAGAAGAATTTAACCCGCTCTGCAAATTAAATCACTCATGAGTCTTTTCAGAGAGCCTTGCTGTTCTCCCAGTGTAACTTCATTTATTTTTAGTGTTGTGGCTCTTTCATCATTTCACCTGCTCTACACTTTCAACAATTCACTGTTCCTGAGTGGATCGCCTCGGTTCAAAGTACTATGTTGGCCATTAAGCATTAACATACAGGCCTAGCCTTTTAGAAACTTGCACATGAAGGCAACCGGGCCAATCTGATATGGAAAAGAAAAATGAATCTAAACATGACACCCATGAAGGCTGCATGCTGAGTGTATAATTTCGATTTGGAGGAATTGGGGATGTTTCCCAGAAAAGGAAGCACTTACCCCAAAAAACCCTGTGCAATTGTTTTGTCAAAGAGGAAAGGTTGGGGATGGTATTAAAGGTCACGCCATGAAGCACTGTTCTGTAATCTCGGAAAATGCGGATGGATGCAAATTTACAAGCACTGCAGAAAACCACTTTAGTTTTTTATTTTTATCTTTTTAATTAATTTTTTTTTAGGAAAGGGAGTGTCTGATTTTATCTGAGTGTTAGATCACTGTTGGTAGCTGTGTGGATGATGGATTAAAAAGGAGAGAAACTAGATTAGACAATGAAGGATGGTCTATTCCTGATTTATAAAGACCTATTTGGAAGGCAGAGTGACAGAAAAAGAGGGAGAAATAGAAATAGAAGAGAGAGAGAGAGAGAGAGAGAGAGAGAGAGAGAGAGAGATTGGCTCTCCCAAAAGGCTGCAACAGTCAGGTCAAAGCCAAGCATTCTATCCTGGTTTCCCACATAGGTGGCAGGTTCCAAGTACTTGGGCTGTCTTCTGCCTGCCCAATCTGGTGGAAAGCAGAGCAGCGTGGATTCAAAGTGCTGCTCCAATATGGGATAGCGGTGTTCTAGGCCATGGTTTAAACCACAGGTTCTTTGTTTTGTTTGTTTGTTTTTACCTTTACCTCTGCCTTAACAAGGGTAAAATACAGACACAAGACATTTTACATATTAGAGGTACAAAGGCCAAGATGCAAAGGTTGGATAACTTTCCCTACGTTATGAAGCCAGCTCAAGACAAAGCCAGGGTTTCACCCTCCAGGTGCGGGGCCTTAAAATCATAACCCCAAGGGTGGCTGGGATTTCAAGCATAAGTGAGCAAGTCGTTTCGGGCTCCGAGGGAAGCAGAGGTAGGATCTGCCTAGTGTCTTTGCAATCATTGTTCTGCCACGCAAGGAGGATACAGAACTGTGGAACCATGCAACCTGGGTGACTAGCAATGCATCTCCTGCCCTCACCCCCTACCCCGCCGCTCCCAGAGGCAGCTGGCTCCGCAGAGAATTAGTTCAGACTGATTGACACTTGGCAGTGGCAGCACCACTAACAATGACAGCTGCAAGTCATCCCGCTGCAGGCATGAAGGAGGGCCCCGCAGAAAATGGGCAAGAGATGTTTGTAGGTGAGAGAGCTTGAACGTAGGAGAGGAGGAAAGAGCCAAGGTAACTTGACACAGGATGAAGACAAACCTGGAAACACCTTGAAGGAGGTGATAATTGTTACAGGGGGAAAAAAAATGAAACCAAAAATTGGGTACTAATTGTATGTTTTCAATGTAAGCAGAAAGTTCCACTGAGCATTCAGAGTCTTGGTTCCAGGGGAGAAGATTCGGGAGAGGTGAACTTGGGTCGGTTGGCGTTAAACACCCGCAGAACTGTCTCAAGAGGGAGGCCAGGACTCTGGGTGAAGCTGGTAGGTAGAGACCTGCAGACCATTTCGTTAAGCTGAGAGCTCAACATGGAGGTACGGCTCAGGCTGTGCCGTATGTGTGCCTGTGTGTCGAAGCAGGAGCCTGAATCATCCACTTGCCAGAGCAGGGGCCTCCCAGAAAGCTGTGGGCCAGACACTGTATCCTGCAGGACATCCTGTTTCTAATAACTAGAGGAGGAGAGTGGCATAGCAGATCTTGACTAAAGCCTTGTGGTACCATGATGGGAGCAAGAACACACACCAACCTCCCTCCTATTTGGCTCTAAAAGCAATATACTTTCCACCCTACACTCTGCTAAAACCATGCGCTTTTGACCCAGCTCCTGCTGCTAAGACTTGAAGAGGTCTCTTCCACCTTCAGGTGTTGAAACTCACCGCCCAGGAGAATAGTATTAAGACCTGAGGCCTTTCAGGTGAAATTCCGCCCTGAGGGCTTCTCCGCATGTGAATGGGATTAAGCCCCTTATAAGAGGGTTCCCAGCAGCCTCAGTCCACCTTCTACCCTCCCTCGGGTCACACAGTGCTTCTCCCTGGAGAAAGTAGCAGTAAGATGCTGTTTGGGAAGCCGTGAGTTTTCTTGGGTCTGCAGTCTCCAGGATGGTGAGAAAGTAAATTTGTTTCTAAGTTGCTCAGACTAGATACGGTATGATTGTGGTGCATGTGGACTAAGGCCCCTGCCGAGGGATGGCTCTTTCTAAGCTTCGTGATAAGAAAGTCACTATGTATCTGCTGTTACATTTCTATGAGTATGTGATAGTTGAGCGATGACTGGGGCATTTATACAGAAAGTTGCTATTTCTCATAGCTTTCCGTGTCTTCCCAGCATGGGGCGAAAATATGCATGCTGAGGTCAATTTGGGAACCGCTGTTTTACATGAATTGTGCGCAGGTTTCCTTTACTGCAGGCTTCCCCATGCTGTGAGCTTCTAAAAGGCAAGTGTAGCAAGCAGCATGCCAGAGTGTATTTGTTGATGGAGTGTGTCCCCTGCCTATCTACCTTCATGACACTTTTGTAGGAGCAGCATTGAACTATGTGGGGAAAATACCAGTTCAAACAGACATTGAAATTCCAGCACGACGAACGGTGCCTGTGTGTTTCACCCTACTTGGAGGAGATAGCGGAAATTCCCTTAGGACAGGAGTTATGTGGACGAGTTCTCAACTCCTGTACATGGAGAGAGCAGTTCTTCCCACTCTGACAGTTTGGAAAAGGCTGAAGCAAATGAATTTGAAGCTGCCATGCATTCATCAGGAGAAATGAGCTACTCGGCTAATGTGCAGTGCTTCAGGGGGAGGGGTGGTGATTAGGAAGCTGTGGAAACACCTGCTAAGACGTTTCAGAAGAGTTTTCACAATCTCAACCTTCTTGGAAATCTGCAATTACTTTTCTAAATAGACTCGTTACACATGGGTAATTCTACCCAGTTTCTGGGCCATGTGGCAGAGCAGTGAGCAAAGCTTTTGCCCACCCTGCATTCTTGACAAATACTGAGTTATCTGCCCTAGGGGCAAAACGAAAGGAGCTAGAGAAGGCGTGATGCTACGCCCACAGCACAGCTTCTGCGCTCTGAGCCTGCCTTAGGATTTGGGGCTGGAACTGCATCCTCCCCCATTCCCATCCCAAGGTTTTGGGATTTTTCCTGAGCCACTGGATTCCCTTCCCCTCGTAGTGCCTATTCCCCCGAACTTCCTGGCTTCCATTTGCACTTTCATGCTATCAACTGGAAATACCAAGTTTAAGTCCTCTTTTTTTGGACCTTGTCTTTGCTTGTTTCACCCACTTCTACAATTCTTCTAGTATTTCCTGTCCATTGTTTTTGCCTTAACACAGGCAAGGGTATTTTATAAACGATTTATCAGTTATAAACTGTTCTAATACTTTTTCTCCATATTCTAATGGCTTCTGACACATTTGGGGAGTGTCTTAGTTCTCACTGCTAATCTTTTAAATTCTACATAACATTGCTACCTAAAGTAAATATGACATATGTGGTGGATTTTAGTCTCTTAAACAAGACTGGGAGTTGGTGTTGTGACTTAGTGGGTTAAGCCACCAGCAGTTGCTTAGTTTCCAATATAGCTCATGCTATATTGCTTTCTGCATCTGGAAAGCAACACAATTACCTGAGTCCTTGGGTCCCTGTCACTCCTATAGAAGATGCGAATGTTTCACCTTGGCCTGGCCTAACCCAGGCCACGGCAGCATTTCAGGGAGTAAACCAGCAGAGAGGAGATTCTTTCTTCCCCTCCCTCCATGTCACTCTGCCTTTCACATCTACAAATCCTGCTGCTTGTATGAGGTCGGCTGTAAACAAAGCCTGCTGGCAACACAGGCAGCCTGAATTCGGAGGGCTTCTCAGCTGGGACTGGGACAAGAACTCAGTCGTAGTCTACCTAATTTTCTCCATCTAGAAACTGGAAGGAATAAGCATGCCCTTCTCGTTTAGTTATTAGTAAGGATTAATTGGATAATATGCTTAAAGCCCACCAATAGCAACTAGACCTTGGGAAAAGCCATATAGCCATGGAAAAAAATCTAATATAGACTCTTATTCTCTGTGCTTTAATAGGCTTCTAAAATAGCAATTTTTCTTTTTTAGGTCCAGATTATATAAAGGATCATTTACCTAAAATTCATCAGCACACTTCCTATATCGGAGAAAAGCGTCCAGTGTTGGAGAAAACTGGAGATCTCCAATATTTATGGAGGCCTGCCTCAAACCTGAGCTTCCCAGCAAAATATAAGCATGAATATGTCGGTGGAGTTGGATGGGGAGTACAAGAGTATAATTTCATCAACAAATCGAGACTGGAGAGTGGCTTTCATATCAAGGTATGGCTCCGAAATTTATGCTCTTCTAGTATACTCTTGAATGACTTGAACTGTGAGTCGATTTTCAAAGGAAATGTCAGGGGCTTGATCTCTCATTGCAAAGTAAGATTTGAGCCTAGCTGAAAGATGAATGTGTGAACACACGTACTTGTCACCACAGCTCTTCCTATTCACAAGAGGAGAGGTGTGAGGAGAATGAAGCTCTGGATGAGGCGGAAGCATTTGGATTTGGCTTTGGAATGCGCTCAGATTCATGTTTCTTTCTGCAGAGGCACTGGCCCACACTTCCCCCACCCAGCACTGTTTTAGAAGTGGGTGGTACTGAGGCAGAAGTTGGCCGTAATCTACCAAGTGAAAACATGAGTCTTGGTTTGTTAAAACCGACTGCACTGATCACGCCAGCAATTGGGTGCGTCTGGGTGCATAGCAAAGGATTCTTAGAAGCCTTGCATTGTGGACACAGGCATGGGTCCAAGTGACCTCCTCTGATACTGAAGGGAGCGTAACAGTCTCTTTACTGCTGAAAGATCTGAGGCTTTGCATTGTCTAACTGAATGTTGTCAGTATTGACCTGGTTTCCACAAATTCTTGAGGTGCTGTACTAGCTTCTCCTAGGGGTAAGGTCAAGGAAAGGAACATGCCTTTCCTGGCCCGATCATGAGCAGTGTAGGGGAGTGTTGGAGCTGAGTTTCCAAGTTAGTCTCTGCTTTTAGATCTGTCTCTGGGCCTTGAGCATGGAGTTCAGCTGTCAGTGTCTCCATATCTGTCTGTTTACGGAGGAGAGGGCCACTTTCCGGGAGCACCTATGGCCCTGTTCTACCTCTGGTGCCTAAAGCTACGAGTCACCAGCTTAGGTTTGTCAGCCTCTGTCCTCTCTCTCTTCATTATGGAGTCTTAGTATTTACCCCATTTTAAAAAAAATGCACTTTTAAAAAGATTTTGTTGGAAAGGCAGACAAATTTATGGAGAGAAGAGACAGATCTTCCGTCCTATGGTTCATTCCCCAAGTGGCCATAATGGCCAGGGCTGAGCTCATCCAAGGCCAGGATCTTGGAGTTTCTTCCGGGTCTCCCACATGAGTGTAGGGTCCCAAGGCCTTGGGGTATCTTCAGCTGCTTTCCAGGCCACAAGCAGGGAGCTGGGGCATCTGGGACACTATCCAGTGCCCATATGGGATGTTGGCACTTTGAGGTGGAAGATTAGCCAGTTGAGCCAATGCACTGGTCCACACAAACTGCTTTTCTTTTAATTTTTATTTTGGCTGATGTTTACATAGTTGATCAGGGTGGGAAGTGTCGAGGGTTAGGGAAAAGTGGGTGTGATCCTTGTTCCAATGTTCTGTTCCTTCTCCCTGTTTTGGGGGGGAAAGGTGTTGACAAGTGGAGAGGCTACACCCAGCCTCCCAACTGCCAGAGCACCGGGGGTGGGGAACGGTCACCCTGTGTCTCTGTTGCTTTACCAGGCACATTAGCAGGGAGCTGGATTGGAAATGGAGCAGCTGGGACATGACTCGGCACCCATATGGGATGCCCACACTGCCACACCACGGCAACAGCCCCACATCTTTTGAGACAAGTCTTACACTTCCTTGTCAATCCCGTGCTTTGGGCAGCTACTTCCAAGCAATCAGATTTGTCGCATAAGCTGATGTCTAGGGTACTCTGCACACACAGGAGGAGCTGGTCAATTCCTGGGTGGTGTCACAGAAGTGTCTCCGTGCACTTCCTATTCTTTCTCTAGTTCCCTGTCCTTCTGTAACTCCTTCCACACTCCTTGCCCTTCCTTGTCCCACAGTAGTCCCAAACTAAAACTGCCACTTCTCCTTTCGGCCTAACTGCAGGCACTCCTCCGGCTGTCCCAGTGCAGCCGCTCAGGACTTGGATTTTAAGCTTGAACCTGTGTCGCCTGGATTTTTATAGCTCTAACAGCTGCTCTTCCTAATTTACTGCTGCAGGTTTACGTAAGAGAAGCAGTTAAGGAAGCAGAGGCGTCTCCAGTAAGAATCACTAAGATGCCTGGGGCAGTGGCCTCCTACCTGGGAATGGTCTTGCCTATTGGGGGCACCAGATGGGATGTTATAGATTATCTTGCTTTTGACGGGAAGATGATCGCTTCCAAGCTGAGTGGCACCTGAAAAATATCTTCAATTTCACAAGGGCAGTAAAAAAAAATTGTGATCAGGTTTCTTGTCTGAATTTTCATTGAGTTTAGCTATTTCCTATTCACTTCTATGTGGGTTACAGTGCTATAATACTGCACATATATATAATGATCAGTCAGGAAAAACCATTACTTTCGCCATTATCTCAGATTTGAGAGCAGCATTTCTTAAGAAAATGAATCTATTCTCTGCCAAACTAGACATAATTTTTTTTTCCTGCAAGAATAAATGGAAACAATGGAGACAGATCCTTTTGTCTTGACCTCACACTAAGCTGCAAGCTCTTCTAACTGCTGCTCAGCTGTCTTGTCTGCGTTCCCCTGGTCTGTCTAACCGAAGCTTCCTCAGGGTCAGCTGGCTTCCTGATGCTTCCTGATGCTTAGTTTTTGGCTTCTGTGTCCTGACCCCGTGACACAATGATTTAAGTCCTTTGGTTTTCCCACACAAGCAATGTGATCATGAACTTGATGACTAATCCTTCATGGGTGTGATTCCAAAGATAATAGTAAATCCATCATAGCATACCAAAAATTATAGTGAAACAATAATTTTTTAAAATCCATAAGCTTATGAGGAAAACCATAACAACCCATCCATATCTTCGTAATGCAATATAATAAATACCTAGAAGTCTTCTATATGAATTTAGAGAAGTAAACATAATAAAACTACCAGTGGCTGAGTGTTTAATAAGGAGAGCATTGTGAATTTGGGCTTTACAGATGAGGAAACCGCTGGTGAAGGTTTTTGACATACACACCCCACCCCCCACCATTGGCAGATCATGAGTCATGGTCTCAGCCAGGCGACCATGAACCGAGGCAGGAGCTCTAGATGTGTGATATGAGGCACAGGGAGGTTAGAGCCTAAGACTGGAGTGCTGTGCAAAGGACACAAGGCAGATGTCATTTTTCTATAAGGTGAGGTTGACTCTACCTTCATGGTTCTCTTGGTTTTCGTACGTGCTTCCCACTCCACTCGGTTTGCGTACGGCATCCTTCACTCGCAACGAATGTGGGTGCTCACGAGCAGTCTTTGCTTCAATCGGTCAGGCTCTGCCAGTTTTCAAAGTAGCTTGGTCTTGATTGACCAGGCACATCCCACCGATGTGAGGCCTGCATTCCAGAGGTCTGACTGTCCTGGGCCGTGAGTGTAGTACTCTCTTGGAGACCACAATACTCGTGCGCTGTGGGTCTGGAATTCCTGACCCTTTCTGCCTTGGTCCTGGTAGACACTGAGTCATCCCTTGTTTGCTGCTTTGCCTCCCTCGCCATCCGCCCCTGAGCCGTCTCTACGAAGGGAAGTTAGTACATCGGGAAATGATGGGCGTAAATAATGTGTATTGACTAGAATAATAGGATTTCGATTATTTATAACTATTATGTTACTTTAGTTTCTTTTTTGTCCTATTCTTGCCATGTCAAGATAAACTTGTGTTAGGTGTGTAAAGACAAAATGAATGACAATGCTGATACACTAACTTGGGGACAAATAGGAAGAAATTATAGGGATGGGGGAGGAAAGGACGATCCCCTTAGAAATCTGTACTGTGGAAACATTTTTTAAAACTGAAAGGAAGAACAAAGATCTTCCCTGATCTTGACCTAATAAGAAACAGCTGGGTTATCGTTTTTATATATTTTTTTAAGATTTATTTTATTGGAAAGGCAGAGAGACAGAGAGGAAGATCTTCCCTCCGATGAATCACTCCCCAAGTGATTGTAATGGCTGGTGCTGTGCTGATCCGAAGCCGGGAACCAGGAACTTCTTCTGAGTCTCCCATACAGGTGCAGGGTCCCAAGACTTTGGGCTGTCCTCGATTGCTTTCCCAGGCCACAAACAGGGAGCTGAATGGGAAGTGGAGCTGCCGGGATTGGAACTGGCACCCATATGAGTTCCCGGAGCATTCAAGGCGAGGACTTTTAGCCACTAGGCCATGGTGCCGGGCCCTGGGTTATCATTTTTTAAAATGTACCAACCCTGTTTTACAACTGTTCAAAGCCTGTCACACACGATCCTTGGCATCAGAGGGACGGTGAGGTGTCAGCAAGCCAGGCATCTCTCCTCCTCCCACCCTTGCCTCATGCCATCCTACCAGGCTGTTCATTCTGGCCCTGCCGCCTCTCTCAAGTTCACCTGGGGAAAAACTACTGCTGTGCTTGGCATTAATAACTCTGGACCACCACGATACAGGTTGATACGGCAGAATTGCTGAGGGCATTTGTCACGCCCAGTTCTCCTTTCGAGCCATTGTAAAAACAGCAGCCGGTTTGAGTCTCAAAATTCTCCATCTCCAGATGTTCTCCATGTAGAAAACTTTAGAAAACAGAAAGCTTCCTTTCTCAACCAAGTTCTACAGGCGACATAGAAAATAGCTTTCCTAAAATTAGTCCTGTCTTTGGGGTGCTGCTGTTCTTTCCAGATGGACGTCTGCTTTTGTTCTCACTCTTTACTTGTTCGAGCTATTTGCATCCTAACAGTTTGTGGTCTAATATAAAAATAATTACATTCACACCTTTCGTCCGTGAGCACTGCAGAAAGCAATACATTTTATGATAGCTCTGGAAGACTTGAGCCGAGGAGCGCCCCATGTTGGCCATCTGTGAGGGCGGAGAAGTGGGCCTCTTTCCTGAACATAATATATGAGCGCCGTTAACCTCCTCATCCACAGATGTTACGTTTTCTGCATTTCACAAAGCTTAGCTTTGTAGGATTCCTCAGATAAACTGAAGGAAGTAATTTCCATACAATCTCTTGTGTCAGGACTTGCAGAAATTAAACTACTTGCGTCCATTCACTGACCGTGGGAATCGCAAGGGAGGCATGCGCTGCTGACGCA